GGTCTACAAGAAAGCTGGGGAGGGACTTTTTATAAGGGCAGTTAATGACAAAACAAGGGGAAATGGCTTTAAACTGGAAGAGGGTAGGTTTAGATTAGATATTAGGAAGAAATTCTTCACTGTGAGGGTGGTCAGACACTGGAACAGGTTGCCCAGAGAAGCTGTGGATGCGCCTCCCTGGAAGTGTTCAAGGCCAGGTTGGATGAGGCTTTGAGCAACTTGGTCTAGTGGAAGGTGTCCCTGCTCATGGTTGGAAACAACCCCAAATTAGAGTGTCACCTCACTCTCTGCCAGCTTCCTCTCCACTGCCAAGCCACCCCGCAGGTGTTCCCGCTGTACCCATGAGGGTGTTGTGATGGCAGCAGAGCAGCTTCAGCCCCAAAGGGGTTACTAACATCATCCTTGCTCTATCGATCACAGACTTCCTTGTCTGCAATTAACTAATCTGGCAGAACAGTTCAGTGGTGTTTATTGCTACGGCTGTATTTTTTCCTCAGTTCAGCTTGAAATTTGTGAGGAGTGCCATTTGTTTTGAAGCTATTCTGTGTACATGATGGGCAGTCCACTCAGGCTGGCAGGACAGGGGCACAGTTGGTGGTTTAAGGAGCCAGAGTGAACTTCTGTGTCTGTGCCTTTCAAGGCCAGGTTGGATGAGGCTTTGGGCAACCTGGTCTAGTGGAAGGTGTCCCTGCTAATGGCAGAGGGGTCAGAACTGGATGATCTGTAAGGTCCCTTCCAACCCAAACCATTCTATGATTCTATGAATACATGTGAAGCTCTCTGCCATGGTAGGCCTAGGAGAAAACGAGTGTAATTACAGGTTTCTCTACTGCTATTGATGAGTCTGCTTCTGCTGAGAAATATTATTCAAGTTCTTGTACCTGTCTTTTTATAGAGCCACACAACTCTTGTAAAATCACTAAAGATACCAATGGAGCATCATGATTTTTACAAGGTATGATTTCACATCTTTTAAAATAATGCAGAAGGATAGGGATAAATGGAGAAATAGATAGATAAGCCAATTCCCTGTATAAAAATAATATATTCTTGTTTATATTCAGTGTTCTGGAAGGCAGGGTTAGCCTTTGGGATTGTTTTTAATTATATTGAAGTAAAAATGTGTTTGCGCATGCCAAACTTTTATAGTCCATAATGAGTTTATTGCACCTAATAATTATGGGCTGAGTAATTAAAACTTCAAAGTTAATGCTATTTTTTTTAATATAAATGATAAAACAAAGATTTCATTTTACTTTTTATAAGTTAAAACTAGGATGTGTCAGAAACATCAATCTTAAATTTCACGTTATGGTAATTGTATGTTAGGCTTTCAAGTACAGGAACTGCATGGGTATAAAAGCCTTTGACAAGTCAAAAATATTGACCAGGAGCAGAATTTCTTTTAATTTAGTATAAAAGATATATGTTTTAAAATAAATTATAACAATAATTATTCAAGAAGTTTGGGGTTTTTTTTTCTTTTTAGGGCCGCTCCTCCAAACGAGAGACAATAGTAGTTTCTGCAGTTGCTTTACAGGATCATATAATACACAGTCATCAGCTCCAGGATCTTTCATTAGCAGATCCTTTTAAGTCAAGGACAAGGAATACCAAGAACATTTACAAACCTGTGAACAAAGAAATGGTCAGAGCAGTAGTAGATACTGGACTAAGAAAAAAGAGCATTCATCACAAGAACAAGGAAGACACAGAAAAGGAGTATGTTCTTGATCCCAGTCCTCCACAGTTAACATTAGGTAAACCATTCTATTCTGATTTGTGAAATTTTTGGTTTTATTTAAAATAAACTAAAATGAGGAACCTAAGTTTTCTGTTCAATAAGATAATTTAATGCTAAACAGCATAAAATCTTGGTTTAAAATTTCAAAATTAAGTCGTTTAGGCTATCAGGTAAACAATGGAATTACCATCAGTGGCTTGAATGTGTCTCTTCATATCTGAAATGTGTTAATAAATATTATTCTTGTGGCAGTGAAGAAGCTAGTACATCTTAAAGAATTCTTCATTAAGAGGTGGGAAGTCTTTCACACTTTTTTTTAATGTGTTTTGTATATTGACTGTCATAACTTTACCTTACATTCTCAGGCAAACATCAAGGTTTTTTATATTATATTTGTTTAGGGGAATGTTTTAGTATTAAGGGTTTTTAAAGTCTATTTGAAATGGTTTGTTTTATTCCTTATTCAGTAAAAAGACATTTACTGGTGCTGCATTAAATGTTTTCTTTGTTAATTCCTACCCACCTTTACTCAAAGTTTAAAAGGTTTGTTTTTACAATGGTCCTGGGGCTAAACCCGGGAAGAATTAACACCTGTATTTAAATACCTTTTTCAAATTTAGAAGCAAACATGCAACAAGATAAAAGTCACAGATGTGAGGGCTTGGAATGACGCCTGGTGAGAAAACTCACTTTTAAATAGTATTATAATAATACAGTTGTACAGCAGCAATGGACAATATTGCTTAGAAAGACAAAGCCAGGGAGCATCTTAACAGACCAGGAGTCTAAATGTGCTTCCCTCCCATTAGTTTCAGTCTTGTATTTCCCTTTTCTAAAGGTTTCTGTAGTATTCTTGCCATGAATATCATCTTGTCTCCATCCTTTCAGTTGCCGTGATTAGACATTTCTTAAAGGATCTTCCAGCTCCACAGTTTGCAGTTTTAAGCATAATAAACTTTCATCATCATTAATAACTGTTTTGTTTATTCTTTTCCATAAAAATGCCCTTAGGCCTCTCTAAAGATCATGTTGCCTTTTGCTATAATAACTGTCACAGTAGTCCCAGCTCTAAAGAGAACCATGTAAATCAATGAGGCTCCATACAAGCACAGGCATCTGCCTTTTGGAATCAGCTGAAGGTTAAGAGGGTAACTGAAGATAATACACAACAAGTGAGTGTAACAAGCGTAGGACAAAGGTAGTAAGACAAGGTGATTATTCCTACGTTTACATGGTTATAGTTCTAAAGATGGGAGGGCTTTTTCTTCTTTAGTTCATTTTGAAGAGGAATTTGAAAGAAGAGAGGATACTGAGGGTTGGGGGGGACAGCAGAGAGGTACTGGGGTTAACTCAAATATAAATAATGAGTGATTATGGAAGTTAAAGGTTGTGGTTAAAAAATGCAGCCCAAGTGTGAGCATGTTCTCTGCAATTATAAGAAAGACGAAGTATTTTCTCTTTAAATCACAGCATTGACTGAGATGTCCCATACAAATGCTTGTGCAAGGGACTTGAAAGAATGTGCTGAAAGATTTTACAAAATTGCAATTGTTTGGGGCTTTTGCTTATTAGTATTTTCACCTGTGATCTCACATTATTTTAAAGTGCTTGTGTCAAGCTTTCTCAATAAGAATTGTGTGGTTTAAACCTTACAGCTGTGAACTAACTTTGAAAATGTAATTTAATGCAACTTTTTCTTCTTGAGTTTGTGGGCAATCAACCAAAATCTCACAAGCATCCCTATGATTAAATTTTTCTTATAAGAGACTTGATCTAAAATAAAATAATAATAAAGATTAATGTATGTAATCACTTTGCTAATGTTCATTTTAGCATAAATAACTCACTTGGTTGTAAATGGGTGTGTCAGTAAACAGGTTGGGCTTGTAAACTTGATGCATAAGGATGAAAACCCTTGGATGTCTTGAGCTGTGATAAATGTCGGCTTTCATTGCTTGTATTTATTCAAAGTGTTGCTCTGAGAATATCTTCATAGAGCTTTTTGCTTCAACCACATACCCCTTCTTGGGTGTCCTGCTGCCAGTTTTCCTCACTGTGTATAAAAGCTTTCCTTCTAAACACCTGTATAACCTGTCCCTCACAAATATCCCATCTGGTTTATATTATTTAGAAGTTAGGTTTTGCCGCCAGTCTCTTCCTATTTGGCAGCTTTAATCATCCATTTGTGAAAGTTTTAAATAAGCAGTTTTTCTTACCCCAGGGGTATACAAAAGGCTTTCCACAAAGCCATCTCATTGTCTTCCTGAAAACAGTCTCTGACCGCAGTGCTTGGAAGAAAATCAAGAGTAGGTATTTTTTATGTTGTGATACTGTCTTTCATGCTGTGACTGGTTTGCTATCTCTTTCGCTCGTGGTGTATCCAGATTTTCTCATCACAGAGACCATTGCTTCTGTATATTGGACTGTCCAAACGGGATCTTGTTTCCTTACTCATTCACTGACACTCTTGGCTATGACTGTCAGAGGAAACTATATACATGGTTTTAGTCAAACTTTTGTCATGTATTTTATAATTTGATTCTTCTTTGGTAGCAGAAACACTGATCTGTGCAATACATGCTCTTCAAGAGTTGAATGGTCAAGAGGGAAAGCACTTCTGCTTAGGAAAGTTTCTTTGTCACTCGGCTACCAATTTCAGCAACTCGTGCGCAAGCTTTAAGCAAAGTACATGTTCTGAACTAGATTTTAGACCCTAAAAAGTTTGCAGGATCCTTCATATTTCTCTTAAATCTTGTATTATTTCTCAGCATCAAGAGTAGCAGATAAAAGCATTCTCCTGCACCAAAAATTGTTAGTCAGCGCTGTCTTATGTCAATGCAATGTATATTGTACATTCGGAAATTACGATGCCGTAAATAGGTGCATATGTGCTTTGCTGCTTGACACAGAGCGGTTTGTATTCTGTCCCACAGCCCGCAGGCAGAGCTGTGAGCTCCTGCAGGCATGTGTGGAGGTGCTGTGTTTGTCTCTGTGTATCAAGGAACTGAAACAGCACACCTCTAAGAAAATTCATATGGGACCACCAATGTCATCCCTGGTATTCATTGATTAAAATTTTCTGTTGATATTTAGGTTTACATGCATCGCTCACCTTTGACTCGATACTTTTACAAGGCTACCAAGAGTAACAAGGTGGGGTGTATGTGAGTGTGAACCAAACCATATGTAGAGAAAGCACTTTCCACATAGTTCCAAAAGCATAAACTGACCCAGCTTGAAATCTCAAAGCCATCCTGTTGTTCTAAGATATGGAATCAAATTGATTTACATTTGAAGGATGTCATGACCTCACAAGGAAGTAGGTTAGGTAGATAGTTTAACTTAAGGGAAGAAAGTATTCCTTATAATTCCTTCAGTAGCTTACAACAGTTCTTTAAAAAGATCAAAGAGAGTTTTGTGCAAATTTTAAATGATTAATGATAAACATCTGTATATGGATGAGCTCAGGACCAGAATTTTTGTCTCAAAAATTAACAAATCCTGTCCTAGAGTAATCAGATACTTGAGTAAGTGGATCACCAAAACCTCATTCTTTGGTTTGTCAGGATTCCTTTTCTTTTCATGACTAACTAGTATGATGGGTTTGCATACACAGTCTGTCTGATGGGGTTTTGAAAGCTTATGCAGAACAAATAGGTGCTGCTTCTTAATGGTTTATGCAAAGATTTTGGTATGGATGAAAGAGCTGGCCTTTCCTTCTCATTTAGAACTAAAACTCTCATCTAGGTGTCACCAGCTTGCATTCTAACTATTGCATGTCCCTCTTCCTTGCTGGTTTTAGCAATACCGTTGAGGCCTCATCATGGACTCGTGTTATTACACATGCCTTGGACATTCCTCCACTGCCTTTGGTCAGTCCACACAAGCTGCTTCCTCTGGTCTTCAAAGATGACAAAGATCTTTTATTTGCTCTACCTATTAGCATCTTTTTTTACTACTGAGATACTGACACTGGACTACATCTGCCATTTGTGGGGGTGGGGGGAGTATTATAAATATTTTCACTGATTCCTTCTTTGAGAAGGCAGAGATTTCCCATGGACATGCAGCAAGGCACCTCACAGTTATCATCTGAGATCGAGAAGCTCAGCTATCTCAGTGACACTATCACCAGTGTCTTGTGACCATCTCTGTTTCTCTGTGCTCTTTATTTCTCTTGCATCTGTCATAGTCTCGTTACACTTCAGTGTTTTGCACCAGCAACAGTTTTTTTATTACACCATTTTATTCATTTTTATTTTTATTTTAAGAATACAAAAATGCAATGTTGAAGAAACTTTCACAAATGAATTCAGAAATATAAACAGATTCTGTTTATAGTGATGATTTGAAGTTACATTATTGTGCATTGTTGTATTGTCTGGTTAATAAATCTCCATCTTAATGGCTGTGAAAGGTATCAAAATAAATTCAAATTACCTGGCAAATAAAAGTTTACATTTAGAAAAATTTCCTTTATGAATCCTGTATGTAAAAGAAATTCTGACAATTACTGAATAGCTAATTAACACTACAAAGTATGTTGCCTGCCAGTGGTTTGTCTGACGATAGATATATATGAAGTATCTGTGTAACGTATTTTTAATTAAGTGCATCATCGATGAATTTTACATGAAAAAAATCCATTGTCTGCAGCTGCCAGTGAGTTTCACTCAGTGATTTGTTGTTGTTGTTTTCTACAGCTCAGAAACTAGGCCTGGTTGAGCCTCCTTCCTTGCCCCTAACTGATGAAGAATGGGTAAAAATAAAGCAGAGATCCATACAGCATGGAGACTCCGCACAGCCTTGTCCAATATGCAGGGAGAAATTTGCACTTCAGCCTCAGGTACCTGCTTAACTGTATAATCGTGTGGACTATGCAATTGTATTTTAAAAAGTTTTTCCAGAGTTACTGCTAAAAATCATTAGCTGGAGGAAGAAAGGAAATAAAGATTCTACTTTGAGGCACCATTTAACATTTAATAGTTGGACCCAGCTATCCGTAGCCAACTCTGAAAGTACTTTGGACGTGACATGATAGAGACAGGTTGGTAGTGTCTGTTCACTTCTGCAGTTATGCATTAGAAGGAGAAGATAATCAGCCTTTTTATCTGTTCAGGCCTTTTTTTGTTTCATTTAGGCTCCTGTTAGATATGATCCTAGCCTTTATTCAACAGAATGGTAAATATTCACTAATTTCACAATTTAAGATATATTTTGTTTTCTGACAACTTTTGTTAATTGCAGTTTAGTTCAGAAGTTATTTCTATTTGAAAAATTGAAGTAGGTGTGCTCTTAATACCAGTCAGACACTTCCTTAGGTTATCTGAAGAAATGCTTGCATTTTACATTGATGGCTTTATTCAATGTGTATGTGTAGCATAAGCATAAATACATCATGCTTTATTAAATTCTCTTGTCTATCATATTGAAAATATTAAGGAAAAGGGACAAGTGACTGACTGAAGAGGAGTGATGCTTCAGAGAGGTGATGGTAATGAGAAGAATTATCCCAACTCCTTGCAAGTTTCTTTCCACAGTGAATTTCAGGGTGTTTTTTTCTACCTTTTCTCTGTTTTTAATTTTTCTTGAAGACTTTACAGGCAAGTCTGTGATGTGAATCAAGGTCTTTTAATAACCTTAGATACAGGACTTTTGCTTCCTTTTTCAGCAACATTAACTGAAGGTGTACAATTGTCCACAGACAGGTGGGATGGATCTGGCAAAAGACCATTCTGCCAATTTCTGCCTACCCTGAAAGTCTAAAGCTTGATGAGAGAGAGAGCAAAAGACAGCACTCATTTAAAAGTTTACTTTAGATTTGGCACAAAAAGGGAAATGCCTCTGGAATTCTTTTTGTCCTCAGTGTTTCCCTCAAGGGAAAAAAGCCGCTGTATCTGAAAGCTTTCCCTTCAGCTGGCTGCTAGCCATTAATCCTTTTGTGTTTGCCAGCTCAATAGTGCACACTACTTGTTCTGGTTTTCACTCCTTTCCCAGTTTTTCCTTCCTCTAAGAGCCAACTGCCTTTTTTGTCCCACTCTCTATCTTTTGTCCCGATGGAGATTCATCAACATTTAGTGGGAATTTAGGTCAGATAAAGGTGAAGTTTTCTTGTAGCCTGTGAACATGCTTTCTCTTTTGTTTTTCTGTATGTGTGAAATGCTGCATTTGATGTATATCACTTTGTGAAATTTAATGTCTTTGTGGAGAAAAAAGAGAAAAAAATTAATCAGTTTTTATTTTAAGTACTTGTTCTATAACCTTCTCCTCCAGTCAGCAGCAGTTGGCATTTCTTGCTTTCTGCCACTGTGTTGTTAACACAAAATTCACATATTAGTTTAAGGTGTAATATATTAAGTAATTTCTATAGAAGACTAGTTTTCTTTTTAGTGGAAAGACTGCAGTAGTAACAGAAAGAAACTGATGACCTTTCAGGCAGTCAGAACTTTTCTTGTCAGCAGTTTTTACTTTTCAGCTTTTTAGGATGGCTTGAAGTCAGGTTTGTTGTGTTTTTTTTCCCCTTTGAAAAACAGGTGCTGCTTTCATGTTCCCATGTATTCCATAAAGTGAGTACATTTTTATATAACTGTTTAAGCACATAATACATTACTATTTTAATTAAACTACTTAAGTGAATATCTTAATGAATTAAATCTAATCACCTTGAAAAGTAATTGATTCCAGATTTTTATGGTAAGAAATATAATTTACAGCTATTTTATGATGAAGCACTTTATTCCATTTTATTACCTTTTTTTTAAAACCATATGGGAAAATGTAGTTTGTAACTGAACTATGTATTTGTATACACAGCGGGAATACTTTAATTCATGAAATTTCATGCAAATATATGTAGATTTACAAAATTCTCATTTTAATTATACAAATATGCATCTTGTAGAGTGTCCATGGATTGATGAATCAACTGGTTTTACATTCTGTAATCTATCCTGTTTCATCTGTTCCAGTGATATTAAACATATTGTCAGTAATTGCAATTATTTTTTTTCAGGCATGCCTGAAAGCCTTTGAAAAATTTACAGGTAAAAAGTCTTGTCCTATATGTAGAAAAGAGCAGTATCAGACCAGAGTCATACACGATGGGGCACGCTTGTTTAAAATAAAGTGTGCTACCAGGTAAGCCTTTCTTCTGCTACAGGTGGTGTCCCTGGACAATATTTATTTCTAAATAATGTTCCAAATGAGTTAAAACTTTACTATAATAATAAACTAGACAGAATGAATGCACTACAAAAGTTAAAGTGTTAAAAAAATGCATTAAATTATTTTTTTCATATAAATAGTAAAATTATATAAATTTGAGTTTCCTCTTATTGAGCAAAATTGTGTCTTACAGGATTCAAGCTTCCTGGAGAGGATATATTGTTAGAAAATGGTATGAAAACTTGAGAAAAACTGTGCCTCCTAAAGACAGCAAATTAAGAAAGCAATTCTTTGAGAAAAAGGTACGTGGCATTTGCTTCTTTGGTCTGATTCAGCTCCCTTAAATCTAGTCAGTGAGGTTACATCGGGTTGGTGACCGGTCACTAGTGGGGTCCTGCAGGGATCCATCCTGGGGCCGGTGCTCTTTAATGTCTTCATCAATGACCTGGATACAGGGCTTGAGGGACTGATAACTAAGTTTGCTGATGACACCAGATTGGCAGGAGCTGTGGACACTCT